AAAAAAAAGGCCCAACAACAACAAAAAAAAGCCCCTCGAGGGTGTTTAAGAGATTATTTCCAAAAGTTTGTTTGAAAGGAGAGAGCTCCGTAAATTGAAGCAAGAATCGGAGTGCGCTTTTTGGTGGGCGGAATGGGAAGTTTAGGGGGGGTTGTTGTGCGCTTTTAAATCTTTTCTTATTTAAAACGTCGGGTATTATTTAAAACAAAGGTGTGAAACCCTAAATATATATAAATATAACGGATAGAAACGCAGGGGCTGTCGCGGCTGGTGGTGTGCGGGTCGTGGGTTATTTTTATTTTCCCACTATCGCTAGGAAAAGTCTCCCGCGTGTGATGCCGGGATAAAGCCGAGGCCAGGGCACGGCCGAGGGGCTTCTCCCTTCTTTAAACGATTCGAATCCCAGGAGAGAAGCTGAAGGCACGGGGAGGGACACGCCCGGTTTCGCTGGATTTTCCTTTCTTTTAACTTTTTTCCCCTCTTTCTTGGGTTGGGGTTTTTTCCTCCTTCCTTTGCAGTTTCCACCCCGCTGGGCCAGGGAAGGGTGAACCAGCTCGGAGGGGTTTTTATCAACGGCCGCCCGCTCCCCAACCATATCCGGCACAAAATCGTGGAGATGGCTCACCACGGGATCCGGCCCTGCGTCATCTCCCGCCAGCTGCGGGTCTCCCACGGCTGCGTCTCCAAAATCCTCTGTAGGTACCAGGAGACGGGCTCCATCCGGCCCGGGGCCATCGGAGGCAGCAAGCCCAGGGTGAGTGCAATGTGGGCGCCGAGCTAAACCTCCCTCCTCACCTTAAAGAAATTCACGTTTCGTGTTCGGGGGTCCAAGTTTTCCAAGTGTTTTTTCAGGGGAAGGGAGAAGGAGGGGAAAGGGCTTTAGTAAAGCTGCACTTTTCGGCCTCCGATGGGTAGAAAACGGTGCAAGTTGAAGGCTGTGAATAAATTAAAGTGATTTTTTTCCTCACGTGCAACAAGTGGTGCACGTTCAAGCGTTTGCTTCGGCCCCAGTGTGAGGGGAGGAGAAGGGTCGGGATGTTTTGGGCAATAATACATTACCATGTGTGCATAAACACTCCAAAAAGCATCCCCTGCACCTCCTCCCTGCCTCCTTCCCCTGCTCAAGGTAAACGCACCCTGGCTGATCTCCTGGGCCCCCGGAGATTCTGCTTTTAGGATGGCCAATATTTGGGAGAGTGGGACCTTTTCTTAGCTTTATTTTCCTCCTTTCCCCTCTCCAAGTCCTCATCTTCAGCCCCAAAACTATCAGCTGGGCAAGGAGGACTGAACTGAGCTGCTCAGCTCTTCTTTTCAATTAAAAGCGCTTTTCTCTCCCCTCCCCTCTCTCTGCACTCGCGGACACGCACCGGTGTCCCTTGATCACAAAAGCAGGTCGCGACTCCCGACGTGGAGAAGAAAATCGAGGAATACAAACGGGAAAACCCCGGGATGTTTAGCTGGGAGATCCGGGACAGGCTCCTGAAGGACGGGCACTGCGACCGGAGCACTGTGCCCTCAGGTGAGAAGGCAGCTTGGCAAGAAGGGCACCCCAACACCCGCAGGAAGATGGAGGGAAATCATTATCACCACCAAAAATATTTTCCAGGGGCTCTTACACCCTCTCGACCTTTGCTTTGATAAGGGGGGGGAATCACCCCAAGCAAAGCCACAGCAGCAAATAAATCCCAGGCGGGGGGGTGTGCTCTTGTCTCTCTGTGGTCTGCTGCAAAAACAAACACAAACCAACCAGTTTTCCCAAGTTATTCCAGCTGCCCTGGGAGCAGGGCTGTGCTGGTGCAGCGGGAGCACTCGAGGAGGCAGCCCCCAAATCCACGATGAAGGGGAACCCTCTTATCCCGTTGGACTTTGCTCAGTGGGGGCTGCAGAGCAACATTTCCAGCAGCCAGAGCCTCCAGCTGTCCGTGGAAAGAGACCCTGCACCCCCAGATTTGGCCCGCAGGGATGTGTTCAGGGTGTGGGGAGTTCTTTGGGTCCCAGCTGCGAGGTGCCCATTGTTCTGGGGGCTGAGCCTTCTCTGCAGGGCACATTTACTCCAAAGCAGGACAGGCCCCAGGTCTGAATCCAGGCCGTGGGTTCCCATTTGGAGCTGGGGGAAAGCTGGGTGTTGGGGGGTCTTTTCCCTGTTCCAGAGCAGGTGACAATTCTTGTGGTGCCCCCCTGGGATGCAGCACTGGCTCTGCTGCCCCGTGGGGCGTTGGCACAACCGGGAGCTGCTCGTGCCGGGGGCCTCGGGGAGGGCGACGAGCGGGTCCAGCTTTGGGAGCCCACTGGCAGGCTCGGGGGCCTCGGGGAGGTTTTGGGGGGCAACGGAGGTCCGGGCAGGAGCGTTTTCCCCTGGTGGGTGCAAGTGCCCTCTGGGGACGAGCGCAGGCTCCGCCACGTCCTGCAGCCCCGGCTGGGCTTCCCCAGCCGGCTCCCCCCTGGCCTGCCCAGGCAGCTTATACTTGCCCTCTTGTCTTTGACTGTCTGAGGTTTAGTGAGTTCGATTAGCCGGGTGCTACGCATCAAATTCGGGAAGAAAGAGGAAGAGGAGGACTGCGACAAGAAGGAGGAGGACGGAGAGAAGAAGGCCAAGCACAGCATCGACGGAATCCTGGGCGACAAAGGTAAAGGCGGCCGCGCTGCCCGGGGGGGCGGAGGGGACATTTGGGAGAGGGGGAACATCCCTCCCTGCCAGGAGGAAGACGGGTTTGTTCTTTCCCAAAGTGACCGCTGGGCGAGCAGACGGAGAGCTGCAGGGCCCTGGCAGGGGCAGGGGGTGCCCGGCCCTCGGGCCGCGGGGGTTTTCCCAGGAGAAGAGTCGCTGGCGTTTGCTCTGGATCAATTAGACAGAAAGAGGGAGAGGAGGCGGCTGGGAGGGGGGAGAGGCATCTCTGACTCCTAAATGAATTTGTTAAACAGATTTCTCTGCTGCTCTCTAAGTGGTCCCCTGAAACTCGGGCTGACAGTTGACCGATTTGGCCAATCAATATCAATTAGAGCAGCCGCGGAGCAGCGAACGGGGGCTCTGCACCCCGAAAGGAGACCGGCAGAAATAAATCTGGCAGCTCTGATGGAGAGCTTGAGGCTGGGCTGGTGCTGGGGCCTTGTTATCACCTCCCGTGATCGGTGTTTTCTTCTCTCGTGGGAGGAAAAATTAAACTTTTCAAAGCTTCTGTGCTCTAAATATGGGGTTGGGGATGAGGAACAGCCGGAGCCGGCCACTGCGGGAGCTGGAATTTGATTTTTGGTAAACTCAGTGGGGGTGATGATTCCCCTTCCAAAATAAGGAGGAGAAAGTGGCACTTTTAGGGAGAATAAATGAGATCTATCAATGAAGGCGAGGACGTTGAAGTAACGGGAGGGAGGAGCCGCTGTATCGGTGTGGGCAGAAAATGATTTCCTTGTGTCACAGAGCTCGGCGCTTTTTGGGGGGGGAAAACAGCAAGTTTGGAAGTCTTGGGGATGTGCTTCGGGAAATTGGGAATTGCCATTTTTCTCCCAAACTGATGCAAAATGCCGGTGGGCTGAGCCTGCCGGGGTTCAGTCGGTTGGAGTTTTGGGGGATTCGGGACATTGTCGGCAGAGAGGGAGCGGAGTGAGGGGGATTTTCCCCGTGGAGCCTTTCCCCAGTCCCGGGGTGGGAAGCGGGAGGGAATCGCTCCCCAAGTTTCTCACTGGCTCCAAAGTTTTCCCTGTTTTGGGACAATGCGAGTGAGTGGGGCAATACTGACGTGGGGGGAATTCGGGGCAGAAAAAGCTTCTCCGTGTCACCATCAAACGTTCCTGCGAGTTTTAAATGAAGGTGCACAAAAGGGTTTTATTTTTTTTTTTAAGGATCTGATCCTTTTTTTTTTCCCAACCTTGAAGATGAACTTCACTTACAAAGACCTTCAAGTCTATTGAAGCTTTATAAGTAAAAGATTCCTGACCACAAAAGCAAACAGTAGAAAAAAAAAAAAAAAAAAAAGAAAAAGGAAAAAAAAAAAAAAAGAAAGGGGGGGAAAGGGAGGGAAAACCCGAGGCTGCCTTAAAAATGGAGTAAAGGGATGGGGGAGGGAGGGCTTGTCTATTCTCATTCAAAATTCGGCAAGGAGGAGAAAAAGTTTGGACAAAGGGCCAAGGAAGGGAAGAAAGGGAGATAAATTATTCAAAACTCCCTGCTGTTAGATAGTTTTGTAATATTATAGGACCGTCTGTTGGAAAAAGGGAGAACCGTTGGACGTTGCAAAATGTTGCTTGTGATTTGGAAAGAGGCGATGCTCATTTGCAAATCGGGGCCATTGTGTCCGCGAAAAGCTCCCCCCTATCACTTTGGGGTGTTTTTAATTTTATTAAGGGAGGTAAAGATTTTAGGGTTTAAAATTTATTTTAACCGCGCCTCACCGCTTGAAAAAAAAAATATATATCATTTTCAAACCGCGGGTTGATTTATTTTTTCCCTTGTCCTCGCGTTTTCCCCATCACCACCCCCAAAATAATAATAATTAAAAAAAAATTAAAAAGAATGAGTGAAAGAGCTGGAGGGTCTTTATTCATGATTAACACGCAGAAGTGCGTGTCAAAAAGCAAAACAAAACGCTCTCTTCTTCCTTCATGGGTAATATCGCGGACAAATAAAACACGAGCCCCCATTTCTTTCTGAAAGAAGGCTAATTTGGGCAAATTCCCGCTGCCGGAGCCCGCGGAGCGCCGCGGTACCTCCAGGCGCGCAGGCTCCGCTCGCATCCCCGGAGAGAAATCCTGAGTTATCGGCAATTTAAAATTTGTTTTCCTCCCCCGCAATCGCGCCCTGACTTTGTAGATCGCAGAGAAATCACCCACAAAGGCTCTGATTTGGGGGTTTTTTTGGGAGGGGGGGAGAGTCAACCGCGGGTGCGGGTTGGACCCGGCGCATCCGAGCATTGCGCGATCGTGTCCGGCTGAAAAACAACCCTTAAAAAATAAAAAGTGACCCCGGCAATGTGTATTTTAACGCCTGGGAAAGCTTTAATGGCCCCAATTAAGATAATTGATGATTCAACTTGTGAAACACTCCGAGGCGGTGGGTGCACGCTGGATATTTTTTTTATCCCTCGAAAATAGTAATATTCTTATACAATAAAATTAAAATCATAGCTGTTTTCCCCTTCACCTTAATTTTTTTCCCAGGAGGTTCGCAATAAAATAAAAATACACCGCGCTGCTGCCACTTGTTCTCAGCTTCGCTGGGGGGGGGAGGGGGCTGTAAAGGTTTTTTATTATTATTTTTATTAATTTCTGATTTTTAACGCGGTTTTCTGATTCTCGCGGATGGCGAGAGAGGGGGGGAAACTCTGTTTTGGCCTTTTTCCTCTTGACAAACGTTTCATTGCCGGTTCTCCTCGCAGGGAGCCGGAGGAAGACAGCCCTAAATGCTCTCTCTTTTTAAGTGTTAAAGAAAGCTTCCACCCTGCGCCTGTTTCTTTCTATCGTCTGCTTGGCATTTAATAATGTTAAGACTTATTAGAGCTGGTAATGAAAACTGTGGCTGTTGAATAGGGAGCTGTGTTGGAGAAGGGTGTAATAGCTCCAAGGCATGCTAAGAAATGTATTTATCCCCAATCAGTACTCACTCTCTGAGTTCCCAGCACAAACGTTAAGTTGAAGGGTTTTAAGGCAGATTAAATTGAGCCTTTATTTCTTTGCACTTTCATCTTTAAACGGCTCACTCCAGCTAGCCCTGGGCATATATTCATGAGGCTTCACTTTATTTTATATATATATATATTTATATCCTTGTTAAGACCGAGTTGTTATTATTATTTGGGCTTGTTGTTATTTATTATGGCTGGTGGGGTTCATTAGGGAGGTTCACGCGTGGGGGCTTGCGCTGTTCTTCTCCCGCGGGGGGGGCGGGGGGCATTTGAGACACCCCCCAAATTTCAGGGGGTGCTGTTCGGGGGTTAATTGGGAGGAGCAGCGGAAGGGCCTCGTCCTGGTGGGGTATTAATTGCAACCAGACGCGGGGGAGGGGGGTCGCGGGGTTAAGGGGAAGGCGATGGGTCTGCGCGGGAGGAGAGGGAAGTTCAGCAGGTCCCCCCCACCCCGGCGTGTCATCCCACGGGCACGGGGGGGGACAGCCGGTCCTGCCCCCTGCACTGCTCCGGGACGCGAGGCAGGATGCAAAGGATGCTCAGGGCTTGGGTGGCGGGGCCCATCTGGGGTGAAAACACGGATTTTTAGTTCGTTTTCCCCCGCTTTGTATCTCCGAACTCCGCTTTATTGCGCCAAGTTTCTTCCACCGATCGATTTTTCGCTTCGATACTCCTTGGAAATATCGCGTGGGATGGGAAAGCCGAGTGGGAAAGCCGGGAGAGCAGCGGGCTCGGGGTTTATTGGGGGTGGGAGAGGCGGGCAGGTGTGAACTGCACAGGAGGGGGGACACAGGGACACGTGCAGGTGATAACGATTTAATTGGGGAGCCCCCGGTGCCCCTTCTGTCGAGTTTTGGGGGGCTGGACAGAGCAGGGAGAGGCTTGGATGGGTCCTGCCCAATTTAATTGGGCTCGGGGAGGAAAAGGAGAAAGAAGGGGGGACCCCCCCAGCTGGAAAGGGGCTTTGTTTGCCAGGCTGGAGCGGGGGAGAGGGGATGCGGAGTCAATTTATCAGCAAACAATCTGCATTGATTTAAAACCAACAAGCGCTTTCTCTGTAAATGTATGTTTAGAAGGGGGGGGGAACAGACACTTCATCAAATCAAGGGATTACGAAAGGTTGGCAATCTAATCAAACAGAGACCAGGCGGGATTTGTGAGTGTTGCGAGTGGGATCAGCTCTAATAATGGGGGGCAGGAAAGAGATAGGGAGGTGTCAAGCAATTCATTGGCTTTAGGCTGAGTTATTCTGTGCATATTTCAGGGAGAGAGAAGAGGGAAAAGGAGAAAAAAAAAAGAGCAGGGAGAGGGAGAAGGAGGGGGGGCTGGATGTGAGCACACACGGAGCTTACATGTCACAAAAAAAGCTGAGACAAATGAGGTACAACAATAAACACAGATAACAATTACAAAGGCAAACAGTGGCTTTTGGGAACAAGTAGCTGCAGAACCTGGTCTACATAAACAAAGTAGGCAAATGTTTGCAAGATAAACTCCTTCCTAAATCAAGTGTGACGGGAAGGAGAGAAGAGAGGAGGAGAGATAAGGTTGGAAAGGGGAATAAACGAGTATAATCTAATACAAGACATTTTAAAAAACAAACTTAAGACAAGGATGCGGGGAGAGAGGTTCAATTATACAGTAGGAAGTGAAATAATATAAGGGAGATGTTTGTGATCCAAGGGTTGTTTGGTTTTTTCCTTTTTCTACATCATTCCCCCTCCCTTCTTTGGGGGAGAAGAATAGGTTCAATTATAGACCGGGGGAAAATATTAAGGCAAATATTGGTATCAAAAGCGCTGGCTGGCAGGTGGGGTGCCCGGGGTTCAGCTTGAACGGCAAAGGAAATACATTCGAGACGTTTTAATCTCTAATTTGAAGGTGGATGGTAGATTACATTATCCAGGGAGGGATAGGAAGCAGATCTTTGGCGCGGGGGGGAGATGGATGCCGTGATAGAGGAGGGGAGGAAGGAAGCGGGGAGGTCTATTGCTAATCCCGGGTTTCGCCTG